CCAAGTTAGGGAAAGAGTGAGTGTGGGCTGGGCCTGTATCTCACTATCAGTAAGGGCGTGGACGGGGTTCCATGACTCATCAGTAGCAGGACAAGGGCGAGGCCCAAGATAGGCGAGGTCTCAGGACAGGATTTGTGAGTATATGTTAGCTTATGTGTTGTTATATGCTTATGTGCTATTATATGTTAGTGGGCAGGACCAGTGACAGGCGAGGCCTAAGTTAGATAGATTTGTATCCGAGCGGGGCTCGAAGCCAGGCGAGACTTGGAGCGGCGGGGCCGTTATAGCGGGCGTGGCCCAGTATGTACAGTATGTGGTTATGCATGGTATATGGTAGGGTGGGGAACTCACTAAGCTTCGTGCTTACGGTTTTCAGTTTTGGTTTCAGGTACTTCCGGTAGTGGAGGGAAGAGCTCGGGGTGATCGCATGGCACACACCATAGATTAGACAGTCTGGGAATGTTTTACTCTGATAACGAACATGTGTTTTAGAAATTAATACTCTGTTTATGTTTTGGATTGATGATTTTGCCTTAAGTAATGTTTTATTAAAAGAAATTTTTAGTCTTGAATTTTGGGTCGTTACAGTGAAGGTCTGCTGGAATGCCAAGCGGGGACCCGGATTCACTTAGGTGCGTGAGAAATCAATGAAGCAGAAGTACCCTCATCTATTTCCTAGTTCATGATTTGTACTCTACTCTTGAATTTCGGGACGAAATTCCCTCTAATGAGGGGATGATGTGACAACCTGAAACTTTCATCTTGTACACCTAGTCAATTTTAAACTTAAAACAAATTGACAACAATAGACTTGGCCAATGTAGTTTGTTATTTATACTTAAAACAAATTGACAATAATAGACTTGGTCAACATAGTGTTACGAATAATAAAAAAGATTTATTATTATAAAATCTTGTTTGTGGAATAACAAACTCAGTGGGATAAGCCAAGATTAAGGAGATTACCTTTAAACTTAAAATAAATTGATAATAATAAACTTGGTCAATATAGATTGTTATTTAAACTTACAACAAATTGACAATAATAGACTTGGTCAATTTAGTCTATAATCGGTTGTAAGTCAACATTGTATTATAAGAGATCTAAAACTATTTGGTTTATGTTTTTGTGTGTGAAAAATATGCTTGAACACATAACAATGAGCAAATACTTGAATTTTATCTGATTTATTATAATTTTGTATTATACTTAGAAAATAATACATGAGTCTATGATTAAAAGAATAAATAAAAAACTAATAAATCATAGAGTAATATAAAATATTAAAAAACTTCATTACAAAAAACAACTATGTTCGAATGCATATTAAAATGTATATAATCACAAATATGTACTTGGCATAGTCACTGTATCAAAATCAGAGCGGATTGAAAAAACTTTTTGAGGATGATGTGCTGGAACCACATACTCAATCGTATTTCCTTTAAAGAAATATAGAATATTGTTTCTATAAACTTACCATTCATGTGCACCTTCATTGTAAGTACTAACATTTACTTTAACCCACTGATTGTAAATGAAAACCTAAATAGCCCACAAACGATCTCCACTTATAGAGAAATATCCCAATTTTTCGTGAAACTTGACTAGTCTCGATGCATAGGGTTTGAAGTCATTAATAGCAAAAGAGGCAAATATGAGTATATGTTCTTCCAAATAAATATCAAACCGCAATATGGTATTATTAAATAATAAGAAGTAAACAACACCACCACTTGTAACTGCCTCATCAGAAACAAGATAAACAGATGATGAATATTTTGAAACTCCCTCCATTGCCATGTACTAAAGAAAAACAATTAATAACAACATAGATAAATATGCAATTTTTGGGATATCACGTTTATCAGATTTGTGCATGTAATTTTCAAATTTGGAAAAAATAGATTCATACTTAACTTTTTTAAATAACACTGGTAGCAAATAACGTGTCTCACTTTTTCATGTGTCCAAGTAAATACCATGTGGATTATTCGCTAACAATTTGACATTTTATAATCTTAGTATGCTACATGGTCAAATTTTAAAAAATAACCATTCTACCCTTGCTTATACAGAAACAACAATTACAAACACATAGAACACAATTAGGTAACAAACATAAATCTATTTGAAAATTCAAATTTAGGTAGAAAATAACAACCAACTTGGGTCAAAGTCATCATTATATCAATATATTGCAATTAGCAAACTGATTTTTTAGAGTTAACGTGAAAAAAAAAAATTCAAGTTTTTTTTTCATCAAACGTGAATGGAAGGAACGATTACTTTAAACAGAATCGAAAGATTAACATGCATAAGTTAAGAAACCATAACAAAATTGATGATAAGAACTTTAACTTGCAAAGATTCTAAAGGTCTTATGAATGAATTAACATGTAATTTGGATGACAATTGAATGAGAGGTCCATCCACATCCGGGTTGATTACAAAGACTTCCAACGTTGTATTTTCGATTGCAATAACAATCGACACAGAGAGATAGAAAAGAATACATCATTGTTGTATATGACAAAGTAGAATCGTATATGTTCGATCAATATAACACTAATATATTTGTATTGTACATATTCAATAGTAATTAACACATCTAAACTTGTTTAGTTGTTGCTATAGACGAGAAGATTATGGGGAAGAAACTATATCTAAACTTGTTTACCTGATGTTCTCGTTTCTTCAAAGTATATGATTGCATTGAGAAACAATAAATGTAAACGATTAAGAAATTACAAAAGGTTTGACGTTTATATAAATATATATACCAGCAAATATCGGTAATATGGTAAATTGGATTAAAACCTTACTTAAAATAGAATATATCAAGATTAAAATATTAATATTTTTTGGATATTATTTGATTTCACTTCAAACATTGCGATGTAACGATTTTTTTGCATTTAGTTTCGATTTTTTTGCATTTAGTTTTCATGGAATATGCTATTGTGATTGAGAATTTCTATATGCATATTTTACTTTACAAAAAAAATCCACGATATGGTTTTCATGGCAAGATATTCGAATTTTAATATGACATTAGATTAGATAAGGGTATAAATATGATATTAGATAAGGGTATAAATATGATATTAGATAAGCAAATCAAATAAACAATAGTTAATTTAAGGTATATTATGGTGAATCCCTGTAAATTTGGATATAAATAATGAAGGTAAAATTAATTTTTTTATTGTATCCTTAACAATAAAAGCATAAATTATGGAAAAAAATAACAATCATGAATGGAAGATGATTTTTATGAATATTTTTGGAGTATATTCGTTTGATTTATGGTTGATTAGATATATTTTTGTTATAAGATAATGTATTTAAAATTGTTATTTAAATTAGATATTTTTAATTTTTTTGTATTGTATCCTTATCGGTAGAAACATAAATTAAGGAAACAAATAACAATCATGAATTGAGGACGATTTTTATCAATATTTTTGGAGTATATCTGTTTGATATATATATATATATATATATATAATATATATATATATATATATATATATATATATATATATATATATATATATATATATATATATATATATATATATATATATATATATATATATATATATATATATATAGGGTAAAGTGAATATACCTAACAACCTTATATAAGCTTAGGTACCTAACCTCATCAAACTACGTCATTTTGCATTAAAATTTTATTGCAATCATCCAAGGTTCTTAAACTTCATCCCTAAACTTGATCTACTTCAAAAAAAATTGGAAATTCATGATTATATTTCTCCTATATCCTTTCGTTTGTAGCGGTAGGATATGAAGCCCATCAGGTGGTATTCGATAGAAAGACGTGATGTAAAAGAAAGATATTGGTGAAAGTACAAAGATTTTGGAAATAATCAAGTTATGGGGTTGAAGTTTAAGAACCTTAGGCAATTACAATGTAAATATGATACAAACCGATGTAATATTATAGAGTTAGGTACCTAAGCTTATATAAGGTTGTTAGGTATATTCACTTTACCCATATATATATATATATATATATATATATATATATATATATATATATATATATATATATATATATATATATATTTCTTATAAGGTAATGTATTTAAAATTGATATTTAAATTATATATTTTTAGTTTTTAGGTATTTCGAATTTGACAATGGTTTAACATGGTTAGCTTTTATATGTTAACTTACCTTGAATACAAATGTTAAAATTAATGATATTTGTTTGCTATAATTAAGAAATATATGTTAAGCAAATGATTTTAATTGAAAAAAATTGTCTTTATTGCAAAAAATTTGAACTTTTTAAAATTTTAGTTATTTCAAATTTGACCAAGAGTTTAGCATGGATAGCTTTGATATATTAACTTATCTTTATTACAAATGTTAATAGTAATTACATTTGTTTGCTATAATTGACACAATGATTTTAATTGAATTTTTTTGCCTTCAAGGCAAGAAATACGAATGTTGTTCCAATACTTATTCCATTTACCTGAAGAGTAAGTCTAGTTTTTGCAGGAAAGTGGAGACCAAAACACAGTCTTTATATAGACAAACAAAAATAAAAACAAAAATAAAAACAAAACCATATGACATATAATGTGGGCAAACACCATTCAGGTTTTGAATTCGTAACATAAGTCGACGGGAAAATATATCAAATATGTCATACATATAATCATTAAATCATATTTAAGAAACAAAAGATGTAACAGTTAAAATTCATAAAAGGAATTCAACATAATTATGAACTTCTCTCAAATAACACGACTACTATCGTGTTATAATTAAATGAAAACAAACATAATCTTCAAAATGAAAACAACTTACTTGTCAAAGAGATCCATAAGCAAATAACAAAAACTCAAAGAAAAATCGTCAATGATAAATGTCAAATAATCATAACTGCTAAATTTATTCGAGTTTTTTTTTTTTTTTTTTTTTTTTTTTTTTTTTTTTTTTTTTTTTTTTTTTCATTTTTTAGAGCTTGAGGGTATGAGGAGTAATACCATCTTTTGAGCAAGAGCATTCAAATGATTCACTGGTGGTAACAATCTCAATAGGCCGTTTGAGTGAAGTAGTTGTCAGTGTCACTACATCAAGATCACAACATTAATATTGTCACCTTCAACAAAAACACTTTTTTACTGTATCAAATTAATAAAACAATGTTAATCAACAACATTAATATTGTCACAGCATCACAAATAAATGTTTATTAACAATGTTAAAATGCTAAATTATATGAATTTGATTTTACCTTAATACACTTGTTCATAGGAGTACCATCAGAATGAATGTTGTCTTCTTCGTATGCAGGTGAATGTTTGAAAACTGCAACAACTACAAGTTCATCATCAATCATCTTATTAACAGTGTAGCCGTGATAATTGTTCTGGAGATTAAACTTTGAAATCTGAACTTTAAAAACAAACTTCCTATTAAGCATGATATTGAACTCATCGGGGATCTTTTGGCGTCCTTGATCCTAAGGAATATTATAATAATACATGTGAGTAGCTAATAAATCTCAATTAAAATAAAATGCAATAACAATATATAGTTAACTTGACGTGTGTACAAATTAATAGAATAATATAATATAACGCTACATTTGATATCTTTTCCATCAACCAATGATTACCGCGGTGAATAACATCTTTTACATGATGGTCAAACAATACAAAAGAAGCAGACCCATTTTCATCTTCAACACGTATTACGACCCTTACCCTAAATATTATTACATCACACTTTAATGGACAATGAAATAAAAATTGAAACATTGTAATAAAGATTCATGGGACAAGAACTTTACAAATATAAAATTATGAACTTACTTGTCGTACACATCAGAAACTCCTCCGGAGCCATCACAATTTAATGGTTCACCATCACTATCATCACCATTTTCAATTACCCTTTTTAGACGGTCATGACAATAAAAAGATTACCATCCTTCCTCCAAATCGAAACCCATTATAGTAGCAACGATGGACAAACCAATTTCCTGATTGGTGTGTGTGTGTGTATATATATATATATATATATATATATATATATATATATATATATATATATATATATATATATATATAAAGAAATTGTTTATATATAATGGAAAATTATTAATAATATTAAGTATACCTCATTGTAATCTAGAATATCATCAATGTTTTTGATTGAAAAACAGAGGTAGTAATCATCTGGTTTGGCCACAATAGTTTTTGTGTTAAGCTGTTAGTATTAATGAAAGACTCAACATTTAAATCGATATCAACAATGCTAAATATAAAAAGGAAAAAATGAAGAAGGTCAGAAATAATAATAATTATTTATTAAGAATAAGTAAAAAGAAACAGTAAATAATTAAATCATAGTCAACAAATACATACGCCTTTTAAATTCTGAAATATGATGTATATCATCATTAATATGCAATCTCGACCCAAATAAATAGTTACCGACTTGTGGCTTACCTATAAATAGCAATTGAAGTAATACATTATTTTATATTATAAATAAAATATTAATGTAATGAGCATAGACATCTAAAAATAATTATTCTTACCACCCTAAGTATTGAGCTTTACCAGGTATGTAGCTGTTCAACTTCAATGCAAAACCATCCCACAAAGCAAGTTGCATTTTCCTACCACTATAATTGGTTGTTTGGGTTATATGAATAAAATATTAAACACGATAAATTAATGAAAAATAAAGAAAAGTACCTCATATCTTGTGCAATCATACTCATTAGCCTTGTTTCCCTTGCATTGTCCTTAATCACTCTCATAAGTTCAGTAGATTCAACTTGACCAATAAAATGTACAAAAAAGTAATTTTGAATCAATTATTATAATATAAATTGGTTAAAAAAATATAGAATATAATAAATGCAAAATTTTTAAGGGAAAAAAACTCACCAAATGCAACACGAGTGTCAAAATTTCAGGCTATCAAATCATGAAAACTTACAAAATTAAAGGAATCGATCCTATCAACAAAAGGAGTTGATACACGAATTGTGGTTGTTTTGTAGAAATTTATCTTATGCTTCTGAGAAACCAACATGTATTCTCCTTTTTTTTTCTAGCCATACCAAAGTTAGTGATTTGCCTTACAGCTCCTTCATTCACGAGGGCTTGAAATGCATTTATGAGATTTTTTTGATTGTTGCATGTATTCTAGTGCCCTGTAGATGATAAAGAATATTATTATATGAAACAAAAATAAAACATAAGTTTTTAATATTATTTTAATCTTACCTCTTAGTCCATTAAAATCATTTTCAAGATGTTGACCATGTTTGGGTTGTTTTTGTATGTCTGTATCCAAATCATGACAACTTGAAAACTAGTATTCCATGATTCTTTGGAGGCATCTATCTCAGGGAGCTTATCAATGACGATTTCACTCTCACTGTTATGTGCCATTTCGCTTGTGCTATGAGAAATAGAAAAGTATTAGAGATAATTATGAGATATAGTAAAAAACTAATTTAATGATTCACGAGGTTTTTGTTTAACGGAAATATGATGTTGTTCAATTAACATAGATATTCTTTGTTGGCATACTTAACTAGGAAGCACAACTATAGAAAAAAAATTAATTTTATCATATACCATGAAAAAAACAAAAATAAACAATAATTGTATTTTGAAAAATAATAGTTGGCTACAATTATGGATTAATGGAAGTATGATGGTACCCAATCAAAACATACATAATATGTTGATATTTTTCACAGAAAACAACAAAGCAAAAAAAAAAAAAAGAGTAGAGTATGAACACTTATCATATAATCATTCAATAGACATTAAAACATAGTTGGGTATGAATGAGTTAAAAAAAATAGCTGTTTTCAATCATAGAACAAATGCACAAAACTCTTGAATGTGGAGAGAGAGAGAGAGAGAGAGAGAGAAAGAGAGAGAGAGAGAGAGAGAGAGAGAATGAATGAAATCTCAGTTGTAGGGGGTATATGAGTATAATTTATGTTTGATTAAAGATAATTATGCTATATGATCATGTATTTAAAATTAAATATATAAAACAAAACCATAAAAGTGTAGATTGTACGATATAATCCCATAATTCAAGCCTAACAAAAAGTTGATAAATTCAAACAAAACATATTATTAGATAATTATACATTTTTTTATTATGTTCTTTTATTATTTTATATCATATTAAATATCTATTATTATATAAAAAAGAATATTGTTTTCAGGGACGAAAGTAGAAACAAATGAAAGTAGGTTGCTATTTCATTTGAAATACATCAGAACAGATAATTTACAACAATGGAATTGTATACAGAATTAATCTATCATAGTACATCAAAAAAAATTGATCCAAGTCATGATGGTTGATTGTCTTCCTATGCAACCATTTCTGATGAAATATAAACAAATGACGAAAAGACCCATGTCACAAGTCTGTATATAGGTATGTTGTTTGGTCATTTTTACATAATTGAATTTTAAGTTTGTTTATACGGGTAACAATGGTACATCAATATTTGTAATTTAATAGCATCTAATGTATTAATGTCATTCCAGTGATATTATTGTCAAGTTGTACTTATAAAGAGTAAATTTATAATTGTTTCATTGGTTTTGTTTGTAGTTTAATGGATCTATTGTATTAATGTCATTCCAAAATATTATTGTCAAGTTTTACTTCTTAAGGGTAAATTGGTAATTATTTTCTATGGTTATACTTCCCAAGTTGCTCCTGCAACCTCCTCATTATAGGAAGTACCAGTTATAACCAAAAACAGAAAAATAAACTTATACCTTTTATAACCTTCATACAATTAATGAAAAATAATGTTGATTACAAAATAAAAAAAAATTAAGAAGCCAACTCTACCCTTGTAATTGACATGCATTATATAAGAAAAGACATAATATCGCAAACGAAATTACCATGCATTACAGTGAAATAGTGAATCGGTTCAATGGGATATGCTTCGATTTTCGTCGTTGTTGGATATGAAAATCCCACCAAAGAGTTTAAATAAACTTCCACAAAATATCACAGACAAAATTAAAAATTCGTCTTGCCAAATCTCTAATGTTATTTGCTTCCGACATCTTCGGTTCAAACACTATGTTGGTTAAATCAGTTGAAATCAAAACATTTACTGCAAATAAAATAATGATTAATAAACAGTGTAAATTACTTATATTTATATTACTCTAAGGAGAAAACATTAAAAAGTATATATGCTACTTACTTGCAGCCAAATGAACCAACTTTAATCGAGAAGCATATATTGTAACACCCCAAAAATCATGACCAAATAAACCATGGTTACTAAAAATCATTTATCAAAACAGGAACCATAATCTCTTGAAACATCAAAATCAATATTACAGTATCAAATCATATGTCAAATGTATATCAGACTAACATCCCAGGCTAACATCATGGTGCATCCAATGCAGTCATCCCGAGCTCTTCCCCTTGCTACCGGAACTACCTGAAACCAAAACTGAAAACTGTAAGCATGAAGCTTAGTGAGTCTCCCCAAACTACCACACACCATACACATAAACACATAATAACATATCATGGGCCTTGCCCGCTTCATCGGGTCCTGCCAGCATCAGACAATGTCCGACATTGGGCCTCGCCCGACATCGGATCGATACCCGGCGTCGGGCCCTGCCCGACCTCGGAAAAGTTCGGTATACATATAAACATATCAATAAAAACACATAAATAATCACATAACATAAACATATAAACATTTCTCAGTCCCCACCCGACATCGGAACGAAATCTGGAAGCATACTAACATTCCTACGGCATTGCCCGACATCAGACTGAGATCGGAAACATACAAAATAGACACATGCAAGAATCACGAAGTTATCAAGCATACAAACATTCCTCGGGCACCACCCGACATCGGATCGGAATCCAAAAACTTATAAATCTACATCGGGCACTGCCCAACATTGGGCCTTGGTCCGGAACTAGCATACATATACGGGCCGACATTGGTGCCTTCGACCAGTTTGTACAGGAGGAAACTCACCTCACTGTCGGATGATAGCTGAAACGTCTCTGCCCAGAATAAAGCTCTACTCACTCCCTAAACCAAAACAACCCATTAGATACCATTCCATACTCATAACCCTTAAGGGTCAACTCTGGTCAAGTCAAAGTGTGACATCCCCAAAATCACGGCCAGAAAAGACCGGTTTTGTTTATACTTTATTTCAAAATTAGAGTTATTTTTTAATAAAAAAGGGTTGCGGAATTTGTCCCAAAACAATAATATGATAAAGATTTATCAAAAGCATTTCCATAGAAATGTATTTCATTAAAAGACTCGGGATGTCATGTTCGTACAGATCAAAAGTATAAACAGTACAATATAAGCCTTACTACATTATTTCATATCTACAGGCCTATATCCGTAATCCCTCGTCCAAAACATCACACCTATGCTCATGCGCCACTACCTGTAATGCATAAAACTGAGTGGGTCAGGCTTGGGAGCCTGGTGAGCACATAGGGTTTTCAACCCACAATAAATAAGTTTATTAATTTCATCAATCAACAATAACCCGATTACCCGTTCCCGTTATCCTCACTTTACGTCCCTAAACACCTATCATAAGGGACCTAGCCTAAGGATTACTCATCGGGACGGACACTACTGCTAAGGGGATTCCTCAGCAATAAATGTCCTAATAGGCAACCATGTGGGGGATGGAGTACACCGGTGAACACATCGTTCACAACACCTACAGGTTGCGAGCCTGCTAGTGTTCCACTGGACTGTCTAGAAGAGTCCGTGGTCGTCATCTATACTCCGCTAGATGACTGGATCAACAACAACAACATCGAGGCCTCTCATCATTTTATCACACATCACCTATTACATCTACCCATGTTTTACCCCAACATTTTCGTAGATATAAAATACATATACAGTTTAAATCATTGAAAACATGTATAACAACGTTCATCTAGCATAGATAGCAAGTATTCAGATAATATGCACACATAGCACGTAATTTATATAAAATACTTCATATCTATGTGTAAGTTGAAGTAACTATGCACTCACCGGAAAAGGTGGTGATTCCGAACTCAGACAGCGCTTCGCTTCTTAAAAAGAATTTTTCTTCGACGAAACCTAGTATTATTACCACTAGAGTTTAGTTTATTATTCGTCGAGACTAATTAATAGTCTAGCTATTATTATTATTATATAAGCGTCAAAAAAATACTTATATAACCCATAATAATAGCCCAAGTATTTATTATAAGTTCCTAATAACGTTACTATAATTAAATAAAAGTTATATTAAAAATAGCGTAGGCGTAGCTCACTTACAGCGGGTTTTATAGAAAACCGGGCTTTGCTTGGAGCAGCGTTCCCGAGCCGAAAAGCTCTTCTTCTCAGAGCCTTCGAGCACTCCGGGGCTTCCGCCTCGTGCTAGGGAGGTTCCCTAGGCTTTTCGGGGGATTTCGGGGCTAGAGAGAGGTTCTAGAGAGAGAGAGAGAGTAAAGAGAAGAAAGAATGGGAAAGGTGTGAAGAAAATGAGGGTGGGAGAGGTGGTATTTATAGGGTGAAATGTGGCTGAACTTGGTGCCACATGTCACCATCTGGTGGCAAGCCTTGGGGAGAAAGCAATGGCCAAGATTGTGCCACATCACCCATTTTCGCACAGCACACTTCCGACTTCTAAAATCCGTAACTTTCACATACGACCTCCGTTTTTGACGTTCTTTATATCCACGCGTAGGTAATAATAAGATCTACAACTT